TGCCAGTAGAACCATTTGGTGACCTTACGAAAACCAAACATTTAAGTCAAGTTGAATGTCATTCTCAAATATTATTATTATATTTTTGTATGTTAACCTAGATGTGTGGTTAGAGAGAGGTGTTCTTAAGCAATTGTGTGAAACTGGCACATCTTCCTTGTGAATACATGCTGCCTCTCAGCATGGGGAGAGGGCCTAATGTAGGTGTGCAAATGAAATCTTTAACAAAAACCTGCATGGGATTCAGTACAAGCCCAATGATTAACACCTAACTGGTAGAAAACTAGACACCCCGGAACTTTTTCAATTATAATTAATAGATGCTGGGTATCACCCTTGTTTGAATCCAGAATTCTTCTCAAGTGTTGGATAAGAAAGAAAAAATGCTAGGGGGGCCTGAGAAATTTACAAGTCTCTAGGAGTTATGAGGGACTGAAGAAACCAAGACAGAACATTTCAGAGTGAAAACTGCCACTATTTTTTTTGAGTCTTGTCGGAGGCTTTTCCTCTCATTACCACTAACTCACTTCGGATCTGTTTGAAGCAGTTGACAAGACCGAAAAAACAGAAGCCCTGTGATTTTTCATGATTCAAATACCTTTACCTGATGAATTTTTAAGCAGTAGAATTCACCTGTTCTATAGATCCTATGTATGAGAAAGACACGTAGTTTTTTGTATTTTTCCTTTAACCATCCAAATGCAAGAGCAGCCAAGCATTATGTGTATTGCACATATTATCTATCAGCTCTGCAAGATGTAGGCAGGGCTCGGCATGTGCCATTCAGTATGTTGCAGTTTGACCTAGAAAGGCATTCTTTCGTGAAAAAGGAAATTATAGTCTCTTTTAAATGTTCATAGATTCAGGAATACTATCAGCTGTTAAAATAGCTTGTTGGATGCAGAAGAATTTCTCGCATTTAGCACAAATGGGTCACTGAATCTGGAAAAAAACAATGAGAAAAGAAGCATATCAGTGTGAACCAGACTATACGTGTCAGCAGGACTTGACAGTTCCTGCCATGTAATTATCAATATCAAAGTGTTGAGCTATGAACAAATATTGTTAATATGAAAGAAGCATACTTTCAGATTACAGATCATGCCTACTTTCAACAAAATTTGCCCCTGCAAAATGCACTATAAAATGGATCCTTTTACGGGTGACTTGTGTTTGCCCGTGGGAATGATCTTAAACTTAATCTTCCGTAATCAAGGGGAAAGAGTAGACAAGCTCCTTTGCCTTAACGGTAGAAAGGGATAGTTTCTAAATGAATCTACAACTACCCACCTCAAAACTTTTTCATTACAGCCGAGGAAGCCACCTTCAATCTTTCCCCACAACCTCAGTCGCTACATGGCACCAAGCTATAAAAGCATTGAAAGCTTTGTGAGTTTGTAAGAGTATAAAGAAAAGAGTTAAGACATTGAGAAGAATGGGCATTGATTAGGTATCATGGACTGAAAGAGCAGTGAATTAT